ATCTTCTCATAAATATTTCCTTCCTCTGATCAACTAATCTTTACCTGGTATTTTCCAGAACTGTTCTTTGAATTCCTTATAATATTTTCATCACCACCGTTTTTAGTCTTTTTTCTATTGGCTTTACCATTGATGTACACTTCCATATGCTAAATAGAAAAGATAAATTAGTTTGATATCAGGTGCTGTTATGGCTGAGGCTTCAGAGATTTCAGAAGGATTTCTACATACTTTACAATCACGTTTGAGACACTCAAATTTTTCCCTACAATGTGTACCAGTATAAGATGTTCCAAACCGAAGGTTGATTTTTGTGAAGACTTTCTTTCAGAAAATTCTCTTTCCATTCCCAGCTAGTTCATGAAACATTATGTTATTTTCTTTGCAGTTGTCGATCAATACTCGAAGTTGCTCATCGGTCCATATAGCTAAAAACTTTTTTATTTTTCTAGTTTGAAAAAAAGATCTATTTAAGGCCAAGCTATTATATATATCTTCCTTAACCACATATTTGCAATTACGTAGGGAGAAAGATTGGTAGACCAAGTCATTTTATATCGAATGACTCTAATATATTGATGTGGCTTAGATTATGCAAATAGATTCAGCTAGACTGGCCTAGGATCAAAATCACGTGAAAGTAAGACCTATTGGCTAGATAAGAATACGTCATGATAGGTTCAAAAGAATTACCGTGCTAATACCACATCGAATAATATATTTTACTATTAGATTTGAAAAAAATACCATATCAATACTGTGCTATTACCGTGAAATTGTGTAATACTATTCTTCTGCAGTTAAGGCTATGATCATCGCAAAATCATGGAATAAATATGGTAATTCTGATGACTATTAATTTGCTGATCTCGATTCTGAAAAAAAATAAACATATATGATAATTCAGTCTACAATCTACTTAATAATTTTCCTAGCCAGATACTGGAGATATGATAGGACTCATCATTGGTAAGGTTTTCCTTTTGAATCTTCTATCACAATAATAATAACCTTCATCATAACCACTGTATCTATTATCATATCTATTATCATCATGCGATCCATATGGTATCTCTTCTTCAGAATCACTAGAATCATTTTCATCATCTGACTTAACTGATTGTGAAACAACCCCTTTATTGATACAGTAATATAAATATCATATAATAAAAAAACCATTATGATCAAGAATCGAAATTTACCAAGAAAAATTTTTTATTAATAATTACATGCATGAAATCGAACTCTATCTATAAATTTTTGGGAGTCGAAACAGTTATTATTATTTCGCCAGAACTATGTTCACTATCTTCAGAATCGGTATTATACAATATTTTATGAATTGTACTTATAACGGCTGTTTTTAATGTCATCAAAGTATGGATAAGAGGGTATATAGCACTTAATAAAATCATATGTAGTGGAATCGGTGCTTCCTCTATTAGACAGTATTTGTAAATACCAGATTCTCTACATATGACATATAGTTCCATAACGTCGCCTAAAAATGTTTGAAAGCAATATGGTTAAGAATTATTGATTTATAATACAAGAAGGAAATGTGAAAAAAAATAGTCATAAACGCTTTTGCAATAATACATTATCTGCAATGTTTATAGCAAATATAGATAACATCTGCCTCTTAGATGAATTATCAAATACCCTCTTAAGCTTTGATATTTTTTTAGTAGTGTCGATAGAATCTTTAGAAAATTGTACTAATTTTTTGTAATCTCACTGGCGCTTGTCTTGACTGGAATCTGACCTGCCAGTTTCAAGGTATACAACTTCAAGCTCTGCATCTTTCTCTAGTTGCACTATAGTCATATAATCAGGTTTCTATGCAAATTTACAAGATCCTTTTCATACAGTGCTAGCCAAACTCCCCTCTTCACCCCTATTAAAAAATATTAAATAAGAAAAAACAGTGCTACAGGATTATTTTATAGCTGATACTAGAAGTAGTACTTACCATATATCCCATATAGCAGGATTTCCAGGCAATTCTCTCATTACTATATTTATTAATGGTGCAAGTACTTCATAGACATACGACTCTTCGTTAATCAGTTTCCTCTTCTTTGTATAGACTTCATACTTAGGTGACTTCTAAACTTTAAACCTATAAAAGATCCCGCCTATTTTCATTATTTATATTATAAGCTAACATATATAAAAAGGCAGAGTATGGTGAGTAAAGCTCAAGCGAACTTACAAAGATTCTAGTATTTATCTTGTCATTTCTTGAAGCCTCTCAGAACTATCTAGCTATTCTCCAAATTCAACATTATTCAAATCTTTATCCAAATTTATCTTTAATTCCTCATTATAGATAATTTCTCTATAAGTATCCATTATCATATTATTATAATCTAGCTTGTATTTCTCAAAAGGTTCCTTAAAAATATCGCAAAATGATCCAGGTATCTTTGTGAAAGGTTCTGATTTAACATCTAGAACTCCAGAACATAGAGGATGGTCAAATCCAAGGCTTTCAATATCAACTTCTTCCAATTCTATCTCAATTCTTTCCCACATAGTTTTTCATAACCAGAACTATTATTTACGACCTGTGCAACATCATGTTTTAAAAACTGTAAGTTTGCATTGGCATTTTCAGACCATGTTTCAGCATCAATTACCAAAGCTTTTATTCCTGTGAACGAGCATAAATCTTCAAATGCAGTTTCCACCTAAAATATAGTTATCTTTAGTTCAGGCTCAAGGTTAATTTGATAAATTAAACTGAATATCACTTCGCGAGATCAGATTAGGTTTTCATTTTCATATACTATCAAAATGATAGCAGTAGATCAGCCAAAAAGCACGCTTGCTAAACATATATTACTAGTTACTGTCATGTGAAAGTGATAGAATCACGTTGAACACAGCGCATTCACTAATATCGATGTAAACTGTGTAACTGATATCTTTCCTCGTGATATTGACACTTCATTATATTTTTTACCAGTAAGGTTTTAAAATTAACATGCCAAGAAAACCTAAAAATACAAATCATCATATCCATATATTCATCATAAAAATAATTCATTTGTCTTATCCATTTTGCCAATTTTTTTCTGGTACTAAAACTTCGAAGCTTTTTTGTCCGTTCAATATCCTCTAAGGAGACTTGTTCTAATACTTGCTCAGAATATTTTCAAAGTTCTTCATCTCCTTTTTGAGAATACCTGTTCATTCACTCTGCTCTACTCGTACAAATAGCGCTGTGGAAATTCTGACAATATCAAGGGATTCTCTTATTAAAAGAAATTCTTCCATATTTTAATAAAATATAAGATAAATATTAGTATAAAGCTTACTAAGCAAAGTAAAAAAATAATGTAAAGGCGTAATAATTTCACTATACTGCTCTTTATAATATTTGTAATTTTCTCATTCACATACATCTCTTTGGGTCTAAGCTCATATTAGGATTGAAGCAGAAGAATATGCAAATGACTTTTACGTCAAAAATGTTGTGTTCGAAAATAGGGGCATGTAGGGTGTGTATTGAAGATCTTGACTTTAAAAAGGTATTAGAGATAATGCATATGGATTTTTTTTCGAAATATTTTGGGGGTCAATTTCTTATATGTATCACTATTACATCATATATGCATTTCACAAGCTTTAACGAGGATTAGGAATATGTTTATTTATGCTTTAGCACTGACGCACATGCCTACATGCATTAGCATAAGACGCAAGTAAATATGAAGCTAATATAATACATTTCCCTATATAGAACTATTTTTTATTTATGTATCACTTCGACCGTATTTTAAAAAATCTATAGATGATTTTTCTCCTGCTATGTTTATAAAATAATACTAGATATAGTATTAGAAAATATTTTGAGCTGATTCGAGTGCTCTTGGGATGCTTTATATCTATACCACCAATTACTGTTAGGCGGGATATTAATATGCAAATCAAGTTGCGTCAACATTTCCATTCTGATTACTAGTATACTGACTGGATTTTTTCAGTATTAAGATAATATTCGGGATTTTGTGACCATTTTATCGTGATATACCACTTTAGTATATAACCTTTTTGTTGTAATATTTTTCTAGCACGATCAAAGAGTACCTAACCTAATCGGTATAAGAATTGATTTTTTTCTCTTTCGTCCAAGTTATAGAAAAATAAAGGGTATGATTATATAGCATATTAAAATAATCATTTTTCCAGTTAAATTTTATGAGTTTTCCATTAATATAATAATAAGCCTCATCACAAGGAATAACACCTAAATACTTCCACCTGTCAGGAGTACCATCATTTCTCACCACCTCCCAAACTTGTTTTGTCAAAGTTATGGGTCTCTTCTTATAATTCCTGTAAACTTGCTGGATAACTGTTACATAGAAATTTTCAAAACTATAATTATGGTATTTAGGAATCAAGAACCCTCATGATTGCTTCATTGAACTTCCCATCTCTTTCTCGAAAAATACTTTATTAAAATAGTTACATATTAGAGGATCTAACCCAGAATAGGCAGATCATGCATAAATCATGCATAGCGTTTTTGGCCAATTTTTCATAGGCGATCATCCATACAAATTATGTAGCGCAAAAAATAAATTATATTAAGTAAACCAGTTAAACAATCATGATTTTTGTTCTATTTTTCAATCTTAATGTGATACCTTTTGGCTGATTAAGATGGTTTAAGTTATTTTTTTTTGCGTATATAGATGAGATAAATATTTCACTCCCACTTGTTCTATCAAACTGCGAGAGAGAATTAGATATATTTTTTTCAGGATATAATACCCCTCTCCGGTCAGAAGATTTTTCACGTAATATTTCTGACTTCGAGTTTATGAGAAGATGTGTTTCTTTATGTTTATTAGTCTTGAAACATGAGTTATCCCAATGATGTTTCATCAAGTCTTCAGGTTTAATCTCATACCCATATCTCCGCTATCCACTGAAATATATCTTTTTTGGTTTTACATCAGTGATTTCTACTAATTTCCAACAATCAAAGCAAATAGCCATCTTGCAATTGTGAATATTAGATCTGTGATAACCAATGACAACTTCTCTCCTTTCGTAATTATCATAGTATGTCTTGATTACTCCTTGCTCAAATGATCCGAAAGGCAGAATACATGATAATAGCTTTTATGGCCTTTAGTAATCAATACTTGCAAAGCGTCTTTTACACGAATAGCCTATTGCTGAGGAGTTTCATAAGATCTATGACAGATAAATCATCATATTGTTTTTCCACCTCAAGAATCTTTTCGAATTGATTAGCATAATAAGAACTGTAATTTATAACATATGCTCTAAGATAATTTATATCAAATCCAGGACGATTATTAATCGGCTTAGGCACAATTTTATTAAAATCCTTATCTAAAATAATGTTAATACACTTATTAGGCCTTGTTCTGTTAATATGAGTTCCTGACATATTTAATAGTTTATAGCAATTTACGATTTATAGCAGTTTTAAAGACTTATAGCAGTTTGTAAAAGTATATTATAATAAAATATCAGATTCAGTTTTATTCGATTATAAGTATATCGAGGGTTTATATAAGGTCTACATCTGGCTATATGCATATTCACATGCATGTAAATCAGTTTGTAGATCTCTGGAGTTTTCCCAAAAATTCATAATTCAGTTAAATTAGTTCCGAGATAATATAATAGCTAATTATTCTCAGATCTATTAATCAGAGAGTATGACGTACATCATATCACAGGAATCACCCTAGCTTCCTGTCAGTTTCACGACAGTTCTCAAACACTTCTCAAACACTTCTTTGACACTAGCTAGTCACTGAAATCATGAGATAATCAGCCAATCAGATTTTACCTCTCGATCTATAGCTAAGCCACCGTTATTATTCGATTAGATCATTAAATTGATCAATTAATTTGCCTCGTAATAATCTAACACATCACTCGATATTTTTCCATAAAACAGACTTCCATTCCCTTGAGAAATTTCTCACCATATAAAACATGTCTTCTATCAAGTGGTCTGACGTTCAATTTCGCATTCTCATTGATGAATGAAAAGAAAAAAAATGCCAAGTATCATGCCACTCCAAACAAAAAGAAACGACTTTTTTGGAAGGAAATTGCTAATAGAATTAATGAGCAGGAAAACACAAACTATTTTATAGGTGATGATTGTCATAAAAAATTCTTAAGTCTCACAAAAGCTTTTTACATAAGTAGCGATTGCTTGGGTTCTATGAGGAATCTGGATAGCAAAATATACTTATTATTATTTTATTAGACAGCAAAAAAATATAAAAAAGGTACTGGTGCTAAAAGGAGCCTAATTAGGAAAGAGATCTATGAGGAGTTCTCATCAAAGTTCTGGCTAAAGCCTGGTATACTTCCAGAGATTTTTTTTCAAGAGGTTTTCATTGATAATAGTAACATATCTATTTTATTTGCTAGAACTATCATTTGGATGAATATATAGTGGAAGTGTTCTGGAATCAAGTAGGAAGAGTTTAACGTCTTGCTCATCAAACACTAGATCTGAGCAAATAACAGATATTGTAGATTTATTCGAGGCCTTCCTTCAAGCGTCAAGACTGATAACACCATCTGTAGAAGCATCTGCATCTTCTAGGCCTACTACTCCTACACTCCCTCTTTTTCCCAAAGTGCGAACGTAATTAATATCACTATCAATAATCGCTAGTAGGTTGTTATTCCAAGAGAATCAGTTTAGACGAGTAGGATTCTATTTTCATTAAATGTATTATGGATGTGAGAATAACTGTTAATAATTATTATTCTTAGACTAGCTATTATTTTTCATAACTGCAAATGTGTACATTATGGGCATAATAGAATAGTATAAAACAAAATGTAATCGTATAATAAAAAATAAATTCAAAGTCTATCAAGTTAAAAAGGAGAAAAACCCGATATGGGTAGGTCCTTTAGGACCGCAAAACTTTATTTTATCAATACTACAGCAGATTTATTAGTTAAAAAACACTAGGCAAAACTATTTAAAAATGAAAAGTACTTTTATTGTAAATTGGCTAGTCAGGCTGAAAAAAAACTAAGTGCTTGAATGTTCAGACATATGAGAGTTTGACATATATTAATCATAAGAAATAGTAGCTATTATGAAAAAATTGCTATAGAATGTGACCTGAAGTCATAACGTCACGTGTAAAGATGGTACAGCAATTGATTTCAAATTTACAAAATGTTGCAACATAAGCTAAAATTAGTTGCAACATACGTTGCAACATTATAAGTTGCAACATATATAGGTTAAAACTAATTGCAACGTAAGTTGCAACATTAAAAGTTGCAACATATTAATTACAATTCCCATCTTTAGTCACGTGTATGACGCAGTAAACTTAATCTATCTTCCTACAGATGCAAACCTAATCAATATTTTGTCAATTTCGTCTTGGTCTAATTTTGATATGCTGATACTATAAAGGATTTAATCCTCTAAATCTTATCTTCACCAATTGCATTGAATAGCTCAAAAATTTTCAGAGCCCTTTCTTTTTTCTTCCTAAGTGCGTTATCACTTACAGTGTCAGGGAGTTATTTACAAACTTCATTGTTAACCAATACTTGAGCAGTACGATTAGAATTATCTTTCTTGTAACAATTAAAGCAATCATCAAGTGCTTTTCCAAAATTAAAATATGATTTAAGAACATCTTGATTCACATTCTCTGTTCATTCTTCCACCTTAATGATAGCATCAAATAAAATGAAGAAATTTCCAGTACTAACTTCTATAACTTCTTGATCCTGAGGTGTTTCAGAGGATAATTTCTCGATCATTTTTCTCAATTTGGAGGAGTCGTTCCTATTAACCAGCTTTTTTGCTTTTTTATTAGAGATATTATCAGTAGACTCATTAATACACTTTTTCTGAGAGTGGTCTAGGAATAATATTAATAGTGAGTCATTAAATAATAATGGTGATATATCTATTGAATCATTATCATCTTTTTGCTTTCTGGATGAATTGATAACTGCTGATTCCACCTCCTTCTTACAATCAGGTCTTAGACATGATAGACTTATTTTTATAGACCTTTCAATATAATCACAATGGTATGTATGTCTACAGCTAAGTATGGTGAGAGGCCTTTTTATTTCATATAAAAAAAGCTCTTCATTGCATTTTGAACAAGGTTCTTGTTCTGAAATAACAACACTTTCTGCAACCTTTTCTGGGATATATTATTTAGGATATTTAATGCAAGAGTTTCAAGATAAGAAATATTAGACATAATAATATTTCGTTATATGATTTTACTGAATATGTATTGTTTTTATTTATTAGGAACTTACACAGTCTCCTGATTGTTGAAAAAGTAATAGTCGATTAATTTGCTGATCTCAAATGAAACAACGTTCTGAAATTGATCTACATTAGTATGGGCGATCGTCACAAAACATGGAACAAATATGATAATTCTAATATCTGCCCTTTGGTCATATTCATTCAAAAAAAAAGATCTATATGAAATTTGCCAAGAAAAGGGAAAATTTACTGTATCACATCATGGGTTAGAAGTTCATTGTAGATCGATTTTGCAAAATGTAATATTGCAAAACAATTGCTCCCTAGCTAGAAAAGAAAATATTAGAGACTTACAACTCCATACTTACAAAGCTAAAAACCCAGTTGCATCTCAGAACTTATTAAAATTTGATGAACAGTTTCACTGGTCCTTTGGATCATCAGACGATTATATTACATCATTACACATGATATTTATCGAGATGAACGAGACCAAGTAATATATGCTTTATTTAAAAAATAAAAAAACATTGACAGAGCAACTAATACATAAAAATTATGACTATATCGCTTTATATGATGTGAATAAAAATTTCTAACTATTTGCTAGAGGGAGTTTTGGGGTGGTAGGATGTACAACAACTGTTAGATTACTATCGTCAATAGTATCAAAATAATTAAGAAATGTATCCTTCCTATCCATTAGATTTTTTGGATATACGCTATTTTTATAGAGATCAAATTGGGCAGTACCAATTTCTCTTATGATGTAGTTTTGAGTCCATCTACACTGCAAGTCTGAAAAGTACTGATTACGAATTTATTGTTACCATTTTTAATGGTAACTTCTAAGTAATTGGTATCTATCTTGTTTTCCTAAATATAAGGCCCATAGTGAGAAAAACATTTCGCTCCTATACATTCATAACTTCTGGCATATATATACCTTATTTTTGTTATTTCTCTAGGAAAGTTTTTTTGCGGGAAAGTTGGCTGAACTTCCACATACCCTTACATGCTTTATATCTTGTGGAAAAAAGTTAAGGAGATATGAGACATAATTAGCATTATTATATAATGCCAAGAGCTTCATGAAAGCACATGCAAATGGAATTCTCATACCTTTTCACATTGTCACTGGGAAATAATCTTCTCTGATTACTTGGCTGCGGTAAGTAACTTTCTTATCATCAGATTTTACAACCTTAGGGAATTTTACGTCCTACAGGTATCCGGAATGCCTTGGAATTACTTCACTTGATTTACGAACTTAAAGGTTTAGGGACTTAGGAAATTTAAAGGATTTATATATTCCAAGTGACGAACTCAGTTGCAAGTTAGTGTAGTGGTTCACAATCAAATCCTAGATGATGGACACGTAGAAGGGAAAAGTATTTTTGTTTTAAAGTTGATTTCTTTATTACTTGAAACTCACAAGTATTTTAGAACTTACAAGAGAGTTATTTTACAACATGAGCAAAAAGCTATTCTAT